TGGACTGGGCTGTAAAGAACAGGTGACTCCTGGACTAGATTGTTTCAGCCATGAGGTGGTAAACCTTTCCATAATGACAGGAAGTTCTGGGAAGGAGGATGGACTGCATTCCAATGTGAACTCCCATGTCCCAGGGTGTACAACTCCCAGCGAGGTGAGAGTGTGCTTTCTCTAATCAGAACAGAACCATCATGGTTAACAGAGCAGGATTAATATTTCTTATGATTAGTTTCCAATATTCTATTTCTGTCCCTAACAAAGCTTGTAGATAATTTTCTGAATTTACTAGAGGCCCAGTGCATGAAATTCATGCACAGGGATGGAGGGTGTGTGGCCCTCAGCCCAGCCTGCACCCTCTCCAATCTGGGATCCTCAAGGGATGTCAGACTATCGATGGGATCGGGCCTAAATGGGCAGTTGGACATTCCTCTCACAATCCAGGACTGCTGGCTTCTAACCGCTTTCCTGTCTACTTTCCCTAATTACTCCCCTGGCAGTTGATCAATGTCTAACTGCACCCCTGCCAGCCTGATTGCCCCTAACTGCCCTCCCCTGCTGGCCTGGTCACCCCTAACTGCCCTCCCCTGTAGGCCTGGTTGCCCCTAACTGTCCTCCACTGCAGGCCTGGTCTCTCTCAACTGCCCTCCTCTGCTCTCCTGATCTCCCACAGCTGCCCTCCCCTTGTGGCCATCTTGTGGTGGCCATTTGTGTCCACATGGGGGCAGCCATCTTATGTGTTGGAGTGATGGTCAATGTTCATATTACCCTTTTATTACATAGGATTATTATTATTATATAGGATTGGGGTCAAACATATGATAATTGTAGGGAAGTAAAATCTCCACAGATTGAGAAAATGGCAATTTTACCATTTATTTTATTACTAGAGGCCCAGTGCACGAAATTCATGCACAGGGGTGGGGGGATGTCCCTCAGACCAGCCTGCGCCTTCTCCAATCCAGGGCCCCTCAAGAGATGTTCAACTGCCCGTTTAGGCTCGACCCTCTCACAGTCCAGAACTGCTGGATCCCAACTGCTTGCCTGCCTGCCTTCCTGATTGCTCCTAACCGCTTCTGCCTGCCAGCCTGATCACCTCCTAACCACTCCTCTGCCAGCCTAATTGATGCCTAACTTCTCCCCTGCCAGCCTGTTTGTCCTTAACTGCCCTCCCCTTCAGGCCTGGTCACCCCTAACTGCCCTCCCCTGAAGACCTGGTCCCCCCCCAACTGCCTTTCCCTGCAGGCCTGGTCACTCCTAACTTCCCTCCTCTGCCAGCCTGGTCACCCCTAACCGCCTTCCCCTGTAGGCTTGATTGGCCTCAACTGCCCTCCCTTGCAGGCCTGGTTCCTCCCGACTGCCCTCCCCTGCTGGCCATCTTGTGGTGGCCATCTTGTGTCCACATGGGGACAGGATTTTTTTTTTTTTAATATATTTTATTGATTTTGTACAGAGAGGAAGGGAGAGAGATAGAGTGTTAGAAACATTGATGAGAGAGAGTCATCAATCAGCTGCCTCTTGCACACCCCCTACTGGGGATATGCCCGCAACCAAGGTACATGCCCTTGACCGGAATCGAACCTGGGACCCTTCAGTCCCCAAGCAGGGAGGGGTCATGTATGGGCTTGTGGGGAGTCTGTGAGGCTGTTTTCCTGTCTTTGTTGCTCCTAGGGGCGCAAAGGTCACCCTGGGATAATATCTGCACCTAGGATAGAGGGTTCTCTAGCTTTTCTCATTGCTAAGCACCCTTGGGACATCCCGGAGCTGGCCTCTCATTCCTGCTGTGCTCACATCTGCCTGCCTGCCTGCTCCATCAGGGTCATCCTGACATTCCAAAGGAATGTTACTGTAGATGCAGCAAGATAATAGATAGGCTCAGTTAAGATAAAGATTGATCTTTGTCAGGGAAGATACCAGTGTAGGACATGACTACCGCCATGACTCTGTTCAGTTAAGATGTTTTCACTTCAGACCATACTCTGTGGTCACTTTAGGTCTCTGAATTTGTACAGTTGCCATGCAGACCTCCCTGAGCTGTCAGGTTCAGTGTGTGGCCCTGTTCTGTCCACATTGTTATGTTGGTATTTATATGGCTCCACTGCTGACTGGGAAGCTCTTACACCAGTACCCTGAACCTCATTGGACACTCACATGTTTTCAAAGGAGGTTTTATCTGATTTACAGGATGCTCCATCTGCCCAAGGCCATGCAATGAGAAAGACATAGATCCAGAACCCCAACTCAACTTTTGTTCTAGAGTCTTCCCTCTGCATTCCATAGACCCTTCTGAAGCAGCAGAATGGGCAGGGGGAAAGGTGCATTTTTGAGGGGCTCCCCAAGGCACACAAGTCCATTCCCACCCCTGCAAGCTCCATGGCACTGCCCAGGAGAGGAGAATCCCAAATGCCTTTCATCTACATCCTGGCACCTGGATGACAATTGCAGCCCATTGCTACTTCTAAGGGAGATTGCAGACTCTAGCTTGACTGAGGGAGCAGCCTTCTAGGATTTGAGCTTCACTAATCATCTCTGCTGACTAGACTGCCTCCCACATGTACCTTCAGAAATTGAGAATGGGACTTGAATCAATTGCTCAGTACTTGTTCCAGGAAACCACGGCAACAAGAGTCCACCCACTGCTGCTCCCAGCCAGCTTGTCTTTCCTCTCACTGTTCTGCCTCAGCATTTGTGGCACACACAGCAGAACTGAGTCCTGCTGTGGGGCAGCCTCGAGGTCCATGTCACTGTGATCCTGTGACTCCACACAACAGACCCCCTTGTGGGTGACACACAGGGCAAGTTGCTCACTGGTAAAATGAGCATTTCTAACAAGTATATTTCAGGTTGTGGGTAGTGACCTATTAGAGGATATATCAGTCATCTATTTCTGCCATAACAAATAACATAGTCAGAGCCTTAAAACAGATTATTTTACAACTCTGGAAGTCAGAATCCCTCTTGGAGGCTGTGGCGGAGAATACACTTCCTTGCCTTCCCAGTGGTTAGAGGCTAGAGGCTGCCTGTATTTCTCGGCTTGTGGACCATATCGCTGAGATGCCTCCATTGGGACATCTCTGATTCTGAGCTGCTGCCTGTGGCTGGGCCCCTTGGGTAATCTCCCGATGTCAAGACCTCAAGCCACATCTGCAAAGTCCATTTGGGGTGATGTAAAGAGTAGCACATTCTGTTTATGGAAATTAAGATGTGTGTATGTTGGGAGTGGTCATTATGCAGCCATTTAAGAACATTTTTTAAATCCCACTTTAAAAAGTAAAACACATGCAGTGTTTCTGGTTCCGTGTGTGTCACTAACAGGATGTGGTCGCCCAGGAGAGTTTGACTCCAAGGCCTCTTTTATGTCATGAGCAGCATGACTCACTCCCTTACGAAGCAATGCCCAAAGAGTGACCTCGAAATGACCTCAACCCTACTCTGGAAAGACCAGACTTCTCACACGGTATAAGTACAGCAGAGTCCGTCCCCCATTTGTCTGATTGAGCTTTACCACATAAATCTAACCAAGGATGTAGAAGGAGAGTGTGCTGGGAGTTAAGGCTCAGGGCTCAGTGTAAAGACTTAGAGTGCCACATGATGACGAAGTACAAGATATTCAATATTCTTCCTCAAGGGGGGGTTAGGTTTTGAAAAACTCAATATGACAACTCAGAGTTGAAAAGAGTCTACAAAACATTTCCATATTTCTAGTCCAACATCAACCCCCAATGCACAGAGATTTAAAAGCTTTAAGACTTTTTAAGCCAAAGTTCTGATTTGGATCCAGTGTTCTGGTTGAAGGATACAAGCGAATGCATTTCCATGTTTGAGATCTGGAAGGTGGTCTGTTAGAGCTATGTATAGTGTGAAGACCATAGCTGGTCATGGGTGACACAGCTGAAGCCTCAGGAAACAGCCACACGAGTGGTAATGACCCCATGCCAGAGTGGTGATGGCCTGGGGTCAGAGTGGGAAAGTAGCTCTCCTGACTCAGCAAAGTGGCTGGTGTTCAGATGGAGAGTCTTAAAGAGACTAGGACTGCTACTTGCACCTCAGGAAGCTGGAACCTTATAGTATTTCTTACCCTCCTCCAAAGGGCACTTCTGCTCTTTAATTGGATTTGGAGTACAAGGGGAGATGGAAATCTATTTAGCTATTAAATCTCTAAGCTCTCCGAGAAAGTTGTCTATTTATTGGAAAGAGTAATCTGAGTTGGAAAATATTTCCTAAGTAGACAACTTGGTTTCCTTCCCTCACAGAGAAGGGAAATGATGCCAAGGGTTGGGGGTGGCTTCCGTTGCCACCATCCATCTTGTATATTAAAGGAGTAGAAGGCATTGAAGTCACCTAAATGCAGCCCCGGAGGGAGCTGTTCCTAGCTCCACTATTGGTTGAATTCTCGGGCACTGCCAAAGTTGGGGGTGGGAGTCAGAAAAAACTAAGTGACAAGAAGCAATGGAGCTGAAACCGGTTTGGCTCAATGGATAGAGCGTCGGTTTGGGGACTGAAAGGTCCCGGGTTCGATTCTGATCAAGGGCATGTACCTTACATATCCCCAGTAGGGGGTGTGTAAGAGGCAGCTGATTGATGACTCTCTCTCATTGATATTTCTAATTCTCTCTCTCTCTCCATTTCTGTACAAAATCAATAAAATATATATTAAAAAAAAAAAAAAGCAGCAGCAGCAATGGAGTCAATTTCCTTATTCATGTCCACACAGACCAAAACTGCTCCAAGGATAATGGGAAGGTACAGCACCCACTCTAAAGATGAACAGTCCTTGGACTTCATCTATAATAATAAAAGTGTAATATGCTAATTAGCCTGGACGTCCTTCTGGACGACCTTCCGGATGAAGCCGGGCTGCCAGGGAAGCCCGGACCTGGGTGCCAGCAGCCCAGGGAAGGAAGGCCTGCTTTTGCATGAATTTCGTGCATTGGGCCTCTAGTCTAATATAATGAGAAGACAGAAGCAAAAGGCTCACTGCCACCACTTTATTAAGAATCCAATCACTGATTTGACATCCTGGTTCTTTTCTTGAGCAGGTAAAAGACGAGGCCTGAAGCTGCTAGCATGCCTGCGGACACAACTACAACGGCCGTGGCTTTGAAAGCAACGTATCCAGCATCTCCGTGCCCTGCAGTGTCTGAGTCTGGAAGAGAAGCAGACGTGAGTCTTAAGTGTAAGTTGAAGTTGAAGCTTTACATGTCAGGGCTCCCAGAGAGGGAGGGAAATTAACCCTCAGAGGATTCCCGGGAAGCTTGCAACAGGGCACAGCTTTAATCCCTGAGCCAACGCCTCCTCTCCGCACTCAGGTTGTTCCCGAAGGTCAGATGGCTGAAAAGGACCTTACAGTCCCAGCCTGTTGTCCAACACAACATCCTGGACCGACAGCTCTCCCAGGGTATTAGTCAGGGATGAAGACAGCTTAATCTCAAATTCCAGGCCTGAAATTAAGACATCTGGGGCGAGGATATAAGATATTAATAAGTTGGGGTTGGCAGGATCAAGGCACAAGCCTTCTGACCCATTAGTCCTATTTCTAGAAACATCCTGGAGTTCTTGTATAGCAGGCAAAGAACTAAGAGGCTTCTGATGTGGCACGAGTGACCAAGCTGGAGGTAACCTAAATGGGAATCCACTTAGCTATTAACAGTGAGGTGGGTCTCTGCACAGGTAAGATACAGTTTACAAAGCAGCTCAGAGCCGTAGGGAGACTATATGACCCCGCTGTGCTAAAGGAGGTTGGGGGAGCAGAAGCCATCCCTGGGAGGAGACTGTCCTCTCTCTTGTTCAGAGGCGAGCATGCGTTCTATTTGCTTACTGGAATGTCACATACAGCCTCGCCCTTGCAGCCAGGGAGGGCCCTGGGCTCCAGGTCCATACCTCTGCCCGTGGAGCCCTCTGACAACAGGAGGATGGGTCCCGGCAGACTTATTGTTGTTTCCTCTTCCTCAGTGGCCCCCGAGGCTGCAGACAGGTAACAGGGTTTGCGCACGAGTGCCGAGCGGGCTGTCCGTGGGCCTCCCAGAGCAGACCGTGGCTCCCTGCTCTGCTGGGCAGGGAGCCGGCCTCGGCAGGACAGGGCATGCACCTCCCTAAGGACAGGGTGGGCCCCTCAAGAACTTTAGTCACGTCTGTAAATGCTCAGACTTGTCCACAGGGACAAGAGCCTGCCCATGTCAGATTCAAACAGGAAGGCCTGCTGGGCCAAGGCTGAGTGGGTGAAGATGAGGCCTCGTCCTTACGTGTTGAAATGAGGCTTGTTCTGAGTTACTTCACAGTAACAAGGGTTGCAATGTTACCTCGCCTGCTCCTCGGTGACGCAGGGCAGGCCCTGGAGCACGGCATGGAGAGGGGGGAGTGCAGGTCGCAGAGGGAGGCGCTGCAGTGGAAGTGGACCTGGGACAGCGGCAGAAGGAGGCGGCGGAGAGGTGAGCCAGGGCACCCGCAGCCCCGCCCACGGCCGTTAATGACTCACCAGGCTGGCCAGCACTCCGGCAGCTGACACGAAGGCAAAGGTCTTCACCTCGAACCTCCGGTAGTGGGCAGGGTAAGCCACCGAGGAGCCAATGGGATGGAAGGTGGTTCTGTGCGGGTCCAGGGTGTATTCACAGCTAGGAGGCATGTGCCAGGGAGGACGTCAGCCTTCATCCGGGCAACTCCATGTTTGCCCAGGTTCCGCCTCACGGGGCACCGTCAAGACCATTGCTGTACGTTCCACCGCACCTCGTTCTGACTTGGCCTCTCCAACCATACCCATGAATCCTAAGCAGTGTGTGCTGGTTTTCACCTGCTATTTCAATTGTATTAATACAATTTAAATATTTATGTTTGCCAGCTAAATGCAACGAGCACTACAAGATTCATATGTGTGTCTTCAGATGACACTGGCTGGATTCTGACTACTGTGAGCATGTCCGAGGAATGTATTTGTCAGTGACACAAAACGTTGGAGAAGTCCTTAGGTGCTAGCAGAGTGAGAGCTATAAAAAATGGGTGTGTGCTGGCCGGAGGCTGAGCTCGCTGGGACACTGTCCCCTACACCAAAAGGCTGTGTGTGGGCTGGATTCCCAGTCAGGGCACATGCCCGGGTTGTGGGTTCAATCCCCAGTCGGATTGTGTACCAGAGGCAACCTATTGGTGTTTTCCCCTCACATCAATGTTTCTATGTCTCCTTCTTCTCTGTAAAAATCAATAAAAACATTCTCAAAGTCTGAAAACAACTACACACAGTGTGTTGGGTGTAAGTGCTAAGGAGAGAAGAGTCTGAAGGGTCAGGGAGCTGGGTCAGCTGACTTCCCAGAGAAGGGACATTGGACAGGCTTCCAGGGTGGAGGAGCAGGGCTCCGCGTGGCCAGCAGGGGGGTACCTGAGGCCAGGAGCCTAGGGGCAGAGGCAACAGCTCCCAGAAAAGGAGGTGCGGGCCTGCGGGGGCAGACCCACAGGCGGAGCCCGCGCCGGGCGGCCTCACTCCAGAGCAGGTGTGAGACCCAGAGCAGACGGGTGTCCCCGCACCCTGCACTGAGCAGCACTGGGGCTCCTGGCCAGCAGGGCCGCTGCCAGAGACCCACCTGGTGGGGATGAAGGTTCACGGCGCAGGACGCGGCGGCGCTGGGCTCAGGATGGAGCCAGAGGGCGGCCTTCTCCCGGGGAGCGAACCCCCCTTCTAGACTCGGCGGGAGTGTGGTCACCGAGCCCAGGGACGAGGGTCAGCGCTCGGCGACGCGGCCCCGGAGCGAGGAGCTGGGGCCCCGTCCCCTCCCCCCGGCGCACTGGACGGCTCGCGGGGAGGGACCTACCCGTCCTTGACCACCGTCCAGCGGGGCCGGGCGGCGGGGTCGGTGGCGGGCGTGGCCCAGCAGTCGCCCAGGACCAGCTGGATGTTGGGGTCCGTCCTGTTGACCACGCTCACCTCCAGGAAGATGGGCTGGCGGAGGCGCCGCGGCACCGGGTAGTCCCCGTCCGCGAACGGGCGCAGGTAGGACCGGTCTGGAAGGAGCAGCTCTCAGCGCCGCTGCGGGCGGCCTGGCCGGGGCGGGCCGGGGCGGGCGGGCGGGCGGCTCACCTGGGAAGGCCTGCAGGCGGAAGGCCAGCGGCCCCCGCCGCACCCAGCGCCCCGCGGCGGGCGGGCCCTGGACGCTGGCGTTGGTGAGCACGGTCCCCGCGCGGTAGTGGCACCTCACGGTCACCCTGCGGGCGCAGCGGGCGGGAGCCAGTGAACAGCTGCTGGGCATTAGGCTGGAGCCTGAGCACCAGGCGCAGCCAGCCCACCCGAGACACCCCCCCCCCCGCCCACCGGAGCCCCCGGTCCCACCCGAGCCCCCCGTCCCACCTGAGCTCCCCCGTCCCACCCGAGACACCCCCCCCATCCCACCCAAGACACCCCCCCATCCCACCCGAGCCCCCCGTTCCACCTGAGCTCCCCGGCTCTGGAAACGGCGCGTGGAGGAAGCCCGGCCCGGAGCGCACGTATCTCATTCTCGTAGATGACCTTGCCGCCCTCGAACTGAGAGTGAGAGAAGGTCAGGGGGTGCTCACCGTGCTCCCAGGCCGGCCTCAGCCCGCTGTCCACACTGACCCGGTGGGTGGTCCCACATCCGTTCAGAGGAATGCGAAACCGCGCCAGCCCCCGGGGCGCGGCGGCGAGGCGGGGCCGGCAGGAGGAGTCCCCCACTCTGAGGGTGGCCAGGTTGAGAGCGGGGCTCAGCTGGTGGCTGTGGACTTGGACATCCATGAACCCGTCCTGGGTGCACAGCTCGCCTGCTGTCAGAGTGGCATGAGATGCTGAGGAAGGGGGAGCGGGCGTCTGCCAGCAGTGCAGTCCTCCCGCCTGCAGTCTGAGGGAGGACTCCCCTGGTTTCATCAGGCGGCATCCCCATGTGTCTAAGTCTTTGGGGTAAGATACTTAAGGAGACAGACAACAGAAATCCAATTAGTGCCATTTGCCAACCACACCCAAGGACAGATGAAGTTAAGAGGGGAAAAAAAATTGAGGATAAACCAAGATGGTGGCAAAGGTAAACACCTAAATTGCTGTCTTGTACAACAATTTCAAAACTATAACTAAAGACAACTATCACCCAGAACCACGGGAAAGCTGGCTGAGTGGGAGTTCTCAACTAGAAGGAAAGAGAAAGGAGCACAAGCACCGAAAAGCTGAGGCACGCGAATCGGGCTGGTGGCGGGTGACTGAGAGCACTGCTTTTTCAACCCGAAGGAAGACAAGCACCCGATCACTCTGAAATCCAGTTTCTGGGGAGACTGGGGGACCCAAACTCCTACAGGGAGAAGCTGGACTGTCTGCCATCGGGTTGGAATGTGAGGGTGACTATTTTGCAGAGGTGCGCCCAGCAATCATTGTTTACTGCGCTGGAGCACCGGACACGTGGGGACATGAAAAGGCAGAGAAGATGATTGGCAGCTATTGCTGATTGACACACTCTAGCCTAGTGACGCCCTGAGGCCCTACCCTGCACAATCTACAAACATACCCAAGCTCCGCGCTGCGGCTTTTGTATATAAATGGCATGCTGTTGCCAAACAGACTGCAGTTTCAGTCAGTCAGCTCCAAAACCTCCAAACCCCAAGCAAAGAGGAGAAAATTGTAGTTCTCGCTGTAGCTCCTGTGGGGTGGTCTCAGACAGTAGCTGACCTATATCCCACTGGAGATCCAGAAACTAGTGTATCTAGTGGTCAATGTGAGATGAAACCAAATTTCAACTACTCTCATAAGGGACACATTCAAGAGGCAGACTCAGTGAGCACCAAAGCCTTACTGGAACAAGTCCTGCCCCAGCACAGCAATTATTACATTATAGACACAGCGGGTCCTCACAGCCAATTGGCCTGGAGGTCAATTCCTCTCAGTGACACCAAAAACAATCAAGACTTAACTTCAACAAGGGTGTATACACAGTCCACAAAGGGGGGCACCAAGAGTGCCCACCTCAGGTAACTGGGAGGCTGACCCATTGAACTATATAGGACACCCAGCACACAAAGCTACCCTACCAACTCAGGGAAGCAGCAGAAATGAGAAGACAAGGAAACAGATCACAAACAAAAGAAATGTAGAACAAAACGATTAGACATAGAGGTCAAAACTATGGTTATAAGGCTTTTCAAGAATTTCCTAGAAAAGGCTAATAAATTCAATGAGACACTCGAGGGTATGAAAAAAAAGACCAACTAGAAATTAAACATACACTGACTGAAATAAATATTATACAGAAACCCAACAGCAGACTAGAGGAATGCAAGAATCCAGTCAAAGATCTGAAATACAAAGAAGCAAAGAACAATCAATCAGATAAGCAAAAAGAAAAAAATCCAAAAAGTTGAAGATAGTGTAAGAAGCCTCTGGGACTACTTCAAGTGTCATCAGAATTATGGGGGTGCCAGAAGGAGAGAGAGCAAGATACTGAAAACCTATTTGAAGAAATAATGACTGAAAACTTCCCCCACCTGGTGAAAGAAATAGGACTTACAAGTCCAGGGTGTGCACAAAACCAAAAACAAAAGGAATCCAAAGAGGATCACACCAAGACACATCATAATTAAAATGCCAAGGGCAAAAGACAGAATATTAAAAGCAGCAAGGGAAAAACAGTTAGTTACCTACAAGGGGGTACCCATACGATTGTCAGTTGATTTCTCAACAGAAACTATGCAGGCCAGATGGGAGTGGCCAGAAATATTCAAAGTGATGAATAGCAAGAACCTACAACCAAGATTACTCTACCCAGCAAAGTTGTTATCATTCAGAATAGAAGGTCAGATAAAGAGCTCCACAGATCAGAAAAAGTTAAAGGTGTTCATCACCACCAAACCAATATTATATGAAATGCTGAAAGGTAGGTATTCTTTAAGAAGAGGAAGAAGAAAAAAGTAAAGATAAGAATTATGAACAACAAATACATATCAACAAGTGAATCTAAAAGTCAAGTGAGTTAAAAATATGAGGAACAGAATAAACTGGTGAATATAAGAGAATCAGGGGCATAGAATGGGAGTGGATTGATAATTTTCAGTGGGAAAGGGGTATGGGAGGTGCGGGAAGAGACTGGACAAAAATCATACACCTATGGATGAGGACAGTAGGGGGGAGATAAGGGCAGAGGGTGGGGTGGGAACCACGTGGAGGGGAGCTATGAGGGGTGGAGGGGAAGAAGAAACAATTGTAATAATCTGAACAATAAAATTTTATTAAATTTTTAAAAAATAGAAAAAAACATTTTTGGTACATGAATATGCTACTGAGAGCCTTCTCTAAATGCCCTGCCTTTAAACTCCTCAGAAGGAAGACCAGTGCCTGCCCTCTCCCTCCCAGGAGCACAAGGCCCGTGCCTTCCGTCTCCTCCTCCCCTCCCCCTCCTCTTCCCACATCTCCTAAACTCTAGGATCCCAGGAGACCTGCAACTAGGGCAACTGTACTTCATCTGGGCAACCTCCCTCCCCTCTACCCCATCCCCCAACCCGTCCCCAAGGCCCTCTTTTCTCTGACTTCCTTGTGAGCCGGAGCAGCCCAGTCCAGTCTCAAGCCCCCACCGAGTCCCTCTCCTGCTGCCTTAGGCCTCCCTTGCTTTTCTGGCCCCAGCTTCAATAAACGTCCTCGTCCTCTGAGATTCAAAATAAAAGTACCTTGGTAAGTGGCTTGAGTTACAAGGGGAGACCCTGAGGTCCCGGGCAATGGTGGAGCTGCTTTGTCTGAACAGAGAGTTTATGCAAAGAAGAGGGAGCAGGAGACAAGGAAGGAAGTGCCATGTGGGGGAGAATCTACAGAAAACCCCGAGGAGGGGCTGGCGTGACTCAGTCAAATTATTTGTGACTTGAAGTGCAGTGCCTGGTGTCCCATGTCCCTCTGTCAGACACACACCCAGGACGGCTGGGGAGGCGCCCATCGTCCCTCTCTGGCTTGGCCTGACAAGGTATGTGTGGGGGGGTAGGTGTAACAGCAGGAGTTCAGGAAAAGTCTTTTCACCTTCGCTAATCTCTTTAGTTCCAGGTTGGGCCACAGGCTCAGGCTTCTGAGGCGAAGCACCCTCCGGGGCCACCCTCTTGCAGCTCTACCCCAGCAGCTGGTCTGGGCCTCTGGCCTGGCAGCTTTTATTTCCTGGGCGTGAGCAGTGCAGTGTAAACCATGCCCGCTCTCCCGCGGGCACAGGGAGGCTGAGGAGAACAGAATGTGCAGACCACTGCTCAAAGGTCTTTACCTGTAAGGACTGGCGACTCACAGAGACACTCAGGGTGAACCACCGTGGACGCTGTCTCTTGGAGAAAGGAAAAAGTCAGCTTGAGTGACGGTAAGTAGAACTGGTAGGGCAGGCACTGTTCTGAGGACTGAAACGCAAGAAGAGTGTCAGCATCAGAGACCACCCCAAGGGCCTGGAGACCACCCAGTGGGCCCGGTGCAGTGTGTGTGGGTGTGTGTGGGGGGGGGTAGGAGTCCTGCAGCACACACCCCAGCCTATTTGGTTTCCCTTTAAGCCAGAAAGAGAGACCCTGTCACTGTGTCAGGATTTGTCCCTCCACAGGGTGTTTATTGCTTTAACCTCATGCCCCCAAGTGCTGGACACTGATGATGAGTTAGCAGGTCAAATGCTACAGAGAACCCAGGGCCCTGCCAGCAGCCAGAGGAGAGGGCTCCGCAGAGCACAGAGACCCCTGTGTCCCTGGCTGTGTGCCGGGAGGGACTGGCTCAGGGTGGCAGTGTGGGACCCTCCGTTTGGCTCAGGCTGCCTGGGTTAAGAGGGCCTGAGTCACTCATCATTAGAAACTGGGCAGAGTTTGTACTATTCAATGTGCTGAGAAACATTGAGGAACACTGCCATTGTGGAGGTTCAAAAGGCTCAATGTTTGCAAGTAAATTTCAGTTACTGGGGAGTTCACTTATGCAAAGTAATCAGATGAGGCTCCCAGACTCTGGGCTGCTACACTGGCTGTTCTAACATACAGGCAAGTCATCAGCAGGTCAGGTTACTGGTGAGACCATGTTTCAGTCAGGTTCCCACACTCAGTGGTTGGCAAGGCAACGTACTTTCGTTTGGAGAAGAGCTTTGCTGAAGTGCAGCCTCAGGCCCCCTGCTGCCTCCGTCCCAATGCTGTGCTGATGCAGCTGGCTCACGGGGATGTCTCTGTTTCCAACACTCACGGATCTTAACTTCCCAGGGAACTCTGGGATGGCGAGAGTCATGTGCGTGGCATTGCAGGTCACAGGGCCTGGAGGGCGTGACCGGAAGGTCTGTGGTCAGCTCTGAGGAAGCCCCAGAACAATGTCTTCCAGCCTGGAGCTGCCTGTGCCTGGATCTTACCTGATAAGCAAATCACTTGTGCTGCTAAAATGACCTTTTGTCCAAGAATTCTATGGATGAGCTTCAGAGGCGCCATGTAGAGATGACTGTGACCTTGCTGGGGGGAGGGGACAACATCGTCAGAGACCTCGCTTCAATTCCATTTCTAAACAACACTAGAAGAGTGTCAAGGCAAGCACATAGTCAAGCACGGGGCACCATTTCGGCCTACGTAGAATTCTGGCATTTTGCCCAGTGATTGTTCTGCCAGGGACTCGTTTTAAAATTTTGTGCTTTTCATACCTGGCAAGCGAGGGCTGTCTATCAAGGTGCCCTGTAGCTGATCCTTTCTGGGTCCCAGCAAAAGCTGCTCTATTTTATGACTATTTTATGGTGTCATCGTCCAGAGAGAATGCTTGCAAGACTGAATAACCTGAATAACCCTAGATCTGTTCCTACTAAAATGCCGGTGTCTGAGCACTCTGACACATTAGCTCATTTAACACCGAGTCTCTTTTGTCGGCTGAAGAGCACCCGTCCCTACTGCAAGGCTCAGACAGGAGAGCGATAACGGTAACAGAACTAACTCGTGGGAGACCTCGGGCCTCTCGCTCTGGACCACACAGCCGATGCAGGTCCTGGGGAAGAGGGAGAGCTGGTGAAGTAAGGGCCATCTGCTCACCATCGTGTCTTCAACACGTGGCGCAGTGCGCAGGCCATGGAGAGCGCCGAGAAGCCCGTTGAGGAGGTGTGTGCTCACTTCCTTTGAGCACGTGGCTGAGGTCATGCTTGGGTGTGAAAAGAGTGGCCTGAGCCTGGGTGGGGCACAGAGAGACTCACACCCACCGTGTAGCGGGTCACTCCGGTAGCATTGAACGGCACCTGCATGGTCATCTTGTAGTCGTCAATTAGGATGTTGTATCCCTGCGCCAGGGCCTCCAGAAGGGTCAGAGTGTGGGCTTCTGCGCCGTGGCCAACCTCAATGCTCCATCCCATCTGCTCCTGGAGATCCTAAAGCCAACATTCCCTCAGAGGGCGGACCTCCCTACCCTCCAAGGTTATCATCTAACATTTAAATCAGGATTGAAGTTGTGTTATCTTTAATATAGAAAAAAGGCTACGTATGTCTGTATATGAAAGTTATTTTCATACCATATTTTCATCAGCCAAGCCAGGAACACCATGAAAGGTAAACTGGAAGGGAACAAACGTGGGATGTAAGGCTGTACCTTGGAGGAGAGTTCCCGAATCCTGCTGCCCGCAGTAGGCAGAAGGCCCAACCAGCTCTGTGTGGCTCCCCTGAGGCCTGGGTGTGGGGCCTGAGGACAAGCAGGACCAGACATAGACCCAGCTGCACCCTGAGACACCATCTTGCCTCCAGAGCTCCTGGTACTGGACAGCAATCGGAGGATCTGAACTCCCTTTCAGCTGCAAGTTCAGACCAAGTTCTCCAGGCACAGCTGTACTAGCCCGTAGGGACCCAGGGTTATGTCCAGCCATGCCGTTCCATTATTGTTGTAATAAAGTACTGGTATTTCTCTGATCTTTCTGTTGTCGAAATTAGCTATGTTAGACTATGAAATCCATGAGCATGTGATTGGGCTGTTTGGCTCATCTGCTGGATCCTATCCTCTGGCGCAGGGCCTGGCACATGGTAGGTAGGTAGCTTGTCAGGAAAGTATAAATGTGATGGTAGCTTCCTATTGCCAGGCGGGGTGTGCCAAGCCTGTGTACACCCTCTCAGTGTATTTTTAGAGATACCCCATAAGGAAGTGTTATTTTCTCCCACTTTGGGGCTTGGAAACAAAGAATTGGTTTGTTTAAAATATTAACTCAAAGCCACAGAGTAAGTAGTGGATACAGGATTGCAATTCTGACCTTATTCCCAAGCCTGACTCTGTCCAGACACACCCTCCCCTCCCTGGGCTGCGGGAAGCCTGCCTCTCTACTCACAGACATGCCCTCCTTCGTGCATAGGGTGGATCCTGGGTGCTCCTGGGCCCCTCCGGCCTGCACGGCCGGACAGCTGACCTGATACATGAAAGCCTCGTGTCCTCCAGCAGCAGCCCTGTTGTCTGTGAGCCGGATGGTCATCTGGTGCTGGCCAAGCTGTGTGCAAACGGTCTCATAAGAACAGAAAGTGTTGGGGCCTCTGTGGGAAAGGAGATTCCAAAATGCCGTCTGGCCTGGAGTGGTCACCAGGACTGCTGGTTCTGGAAGGCCCCTCACCCCTACACCAGGAGACCACAGCCAGCCCGTGAGAGAGCCCAGAAGCACGCATACATTGGCAGGGAACAGTTCTGAACTTCACGGCCTGGAGTTCAGTTTTCATTTTCTGCTTATACTTATCCTCTGCCAGTCTACCATGAGTCAGAGTTCTGGCTGGTTTGGGGCCTCTACCAAGTCATTCAAATACTTACTGAGCATCAGTGTAGCAGCCATGGTGCTTGGAGAGCCATCTTTGAGCATTTCCCTGCCTTAAGGAAGTGGGAGACAACCTTTTCTGTTAAATGTTAATATATATTTTATACTGTGTAGGCCATATATAATTTCTGATATGTCTTTTTAAAAACTCTTTAAAAACATAAAAGCCATTCTTAGCTTGAAGATCAACACACACACACACACACACACACACACACACACACACACACACATACACATTCCATGGGCTGGACATGGCACCCACAGGTGTGGTTTGCAGACTCCTGTCTACAGGAATGCAGCTGTAAGCTTCCTAAGGTTGGGAAGTGACCACTTTAGTTGCTCGCTCTTCACTGTGGGGTCAGATCAGTATCCTGCAGATTTTTGGATGCACCCCGGGTCTACATCACCAACTAAAGGAGGGAAGCCTGTACTTCCCATTCCCCATGTGGTTCTCTTCATGCTCAAGCTTGAGAGCTGCTTAGAGGGGCTGCGTTTCCTGCCCCATACCCTTCACTGGAAAGCACGGGTGCCTGACAACACAGGAAACCTATGGTTCAGCTCGCTCTCCAGCACTTGTTTTGGTTGCATAGAGGGTCCCTTTGCCAGCACCACAATGCCTCCCATTCCCATGAGGTAACTGATCGGAATAGTGCGTGTCTGAGTATTTGCTGTGGCCAGGTGCTGCTCCAACTCCTAATCTGCTTTAGATCATCACTTTTTAGATACTGTGTGGAGAGAGTACCATAACCCCATTTCCCAACGGGCAAGCAGAGGCTTAGGAAGGTTAGCTAACTTGCCCAGGGTCACAGACAGATAGTGGCAGAGTCAGGACTCAAACCCAAGACCTCAACTCTGGGGTGTCTCACGCGTCCCCTCCCTCTGCCCCAGGCACTACTCAGCCTGAGAATTCTGTGTTATGGGGGTGAGGTCACCCTATTCAATGGCGGCTGTTTAGCAGCACCCTGGCTGGTATCTACTAGATCCAGAACCGATTTCCTTTTCTCCAGTTTTGACCACCAAGAATGTCTCTGAGCATTATCAAATGTCCTACATATAAACAAAAGCAAAAAAAAGAAAAGAAAAAGAAAAACAAAGTCCCCCCTGGTTGAGAAACACTGCTAGTCCGCAACCTATACACTTAGCGAGCAGGTAAGTATTAGTAATGACTAGACTATACTTCCCAAACCACTCCTTAGAGCAGTAACTTACCACCCTGCTGGTGCAGGTCTCATAGGGGGCCTGTAGGGTGCGCTTTTCTGGGTTGAGGATGTAAGTGCAATTCAGCATTTCAAGACCAAAGGGATCTACGGAAGCCAGAGAAAGTTAGAGAGGGGTGGCCAAGAAGGACATTCAGTGACAGAAGCAATCGAAGCCACAGAGCCAAGACTGCCAATCCATTCCACAGGCACTCCAGTTTCTTCACTGCTTTTGTCCCCACTATGGGTGTGGCCTACGCTCTGAGGGATGCTGTGATCCACAGCCAAAGTTTCCCCGAGGTTCTGAGGTAAGAGAAAGAAAACCTCCCACGCTTGGCAACACCATGCAAAGCAAGTGCCCCCACAGCATCACGGGAACTGGATGTGTTGCTCCAGTTTGTGAAAAATGGGGCTGGCCTGGAGCCCAGGTGCTCCGCTGAGTGAGACCAAGCTAAGAACACGCATTACCAACCCAGCACAGAGGCATGCCAGTTCTCGGGGCCAAGGTCGCTTGAAAACTCCACTGTCATTCTGTCTTCGTGGCAGGTGACAGAACCTGAAGAGCAAAGAGTGTGTTGGGGCCTCTGAACTCCAGGCGCAGGACTCCCACAGAAGCATCAAGGGAGTTGCCAGCTGGGAGAGGCAGAGCTTGTCCACCCGCCCGCAGGAGAGCACAGCTCAGAGGGAAGGACACGCTCCAGTACGCGGTACCCTGGGTGAGAGCACGCACCCCGGGCCCCAGGGCCCGCACCTGTGGGGAAATCAGGCTTGGGTCCTGACAATGATGCTGACAAGGTGGAAAGGAGGGACTGCACGTCTGAGAGAAACTGGGGAACAAAGGTTTTGTCTAATGGATTCAATTTGAAGTTTTAAAAAAGGCCTGTGTAAACTCAAGGTCATGGTCTAAGGTTAAGTTCCGCCTACAGTCTGCTACTCTGCATCCTCCCGCTCTGGGGAAAGTTTCTAAAACACTCCGTTTCAGGTGGAACCGCTCTGATTGGGCCTCTGGGTTGCTGTTTTCCTTAACATGAGCCGGTGTTGGAGGATGCTGCTCTCAGGGAGGGTCTCAGGCTGCGGTCTGTGCTCTTCAGAGGCCATAGTGTGAGGCAGCGGGCAGTGTCTGCAAGCAGTTTCTATAAGAAGCCAGCGGTAGGCCTCAGAAAATTCTAGTGACTGGCTCAGGGTAGAAAGGGGTGTGGGACTGTCCCTACGTTTGTGTTTCACAGCCATTGGCCCGGGCTGCACCTGCTCAGAGCGGGAGGTGTTGCCCCCCGGGCGGCGTACCTGAGAAGGCGCGAGTCCCCAGCTGCGCAACCTCTGTTGAGCGCACCAGAGTCACGAGGGATAACAAGAGGGCCAGTGACCTGCAGGTGCCATAGGGGGGAGAGAGTTAAGGGATGGACTTTACCACACAAGGCCATGCGTCCCCTCCCTCTGCCTCAGGCACTACTCACTTCCAGCCCGGCCTGAGCCAGCCTGAGGGACTCCCACCACCTCCTCTCCGCCAGCACGCCATGGCCCCAGCTCTGCCAAACCAGCCAGGCAGGAGGCGGATGCTCGTGCTTTTAGAGCAGGAAGCTGGCTGGGACCTGCCCCCTCCCCACTGGAAGCACCTGAATCCCTGCAGCCCCAGCTGTGAGGGCTGGAGGGTGAGGCTTCCAGGCCAACCGGGAAGCCAGAGCTCCTGGGAATGAGCTCCAGCTGCCCCCATCCCTTGTTCAAACTCCCGCTTGAACCCCCAATTGAGGGGACAATTTGCATATTAGCCCTTTATTATATAGGATTGTATGATAGACGTTCTTGTACCTCTCCCTGGTTCCTCAGAAAAAAAGCCCTAGAAGTAGAAATTCTGGGTCGAAGGGAAGAGTGGTCTAAATAGGAAGGTCATAATGGGTAACAATTGGGGGAGTACAGATGAGGAAACTGAGGCACAGCAGCTTGCCCAGGCTTTGACTATTGAGTGTCAGGGCCAGATTGAGAACTCAATTTTTCTGAGAACAAATCACCATCTCTTCTCAGCTCTCTCATTGTGCTGAAGACACCTCGATGCTGCAGCCCGGCTGGTAACAGTGATAGAGGCTCAGATTCTGTGGGAGTCAGGGTGGCGTTTGCAATTACTGGCTCATGTGGTGTGAACTGAGGCACATGGCAGGTTGGGTAGTGTTTCCCAACTTCCTGGATCAAAAGATCCCATGGGGCTCCCGTTGACATCAGCCACTGGGGTCCCACTCGGGAGCTGTTGGAGCAAGCTCTCCAGGGGCAGGGCTTGGGTAACCCATGCTCAGCGAATACACAGGTGAGGCTTATGGTAAGGAAGATGGGGGAACACCTGGAGAGAGTGAAGCAAGAAAATAAGTGGTTGCCAGTGGTTAACCTCTTCGTGGGAATTAACTGGTTATGTCGCAGTGGAACTGGAAGAGGGAGAACAATCCATGCTAAGCAGGTGTAGGGATAGAGATAATAAACAGATATGGATTCCAGCAGCGGCACAGTATTAACAGTCACTCCTACTAAGCACATTTTTCCAAAGGTGGTATTTTTTCTGCAAATGTGAAGGTGATTTGTTACCACCACAGTTAAGGCTCTGATAAGAACAGAGGTAGGAAAGTGGAGAAAGACTCGAGGCCTGTTAAGAAGGTAGTTGGAGAGGTGGCAGGTCAACGCTGGCCCTTCCTCCTGGCCCCACCCGCAGGCTCGCTGCCAGACTGTGCTCTCCGGAGCTGGAGCTTGCCTTGGGAAGGGCACTCAGGCCAGAGCCCAAGAGCAAAGGGGCCTTGGGAGGCAAGGGGGAACACGAAGGCTTGGGCAGGAGGCATGGAGAGCGAGGACCACCAGGGGAGTTGCTGAAGGGGTGTGTGTGAGGTTATTCCTTTTGTCAGGTGTGACTGGACTGTCCTGACCTGACAGAGGCAATCCCATGGACATGCCCAGGTCACAGGCGGCTGGCAGCTGGCTTGGGGATGAGGAAGATGCAACTGTTCCCAATGAGGCACTGTCTCCAATCACTAGCTGGGAAACTGAATTCTTATCAGAATGATTCCATCCTCACTGCTCAACTAGGTAATAGCGGGTGCTCTTCACATTATTTTCAAGGAGCCCTTTGAGGTTTGCTAATATGACTAAAAGTGCCCCCTCTCCTCTCTGGGACTGTCCTGGCCTTGCTCAGGCCCCTGGAGGCCACAGTCACCCACTCACCACCAGGCATTTCCGGAGGGAGCTTTAGGTGGTTACACACGAAACATGGTGGGATGTGGCCTCCCTGGGGCAGGCCCCTCCTTGTTTCTGAAATGCAGTTTTATAAGCTATCATTCTTAAGCTATCATTTTATAAGCTATCATTCTTAAACTCCACACTTATTGTTTTATTTTTCACAAGTTATTAATATATCAGAGGCATGGTGCACGAATTCATGCACAGTGGGGTCCCTCAGCCTGGCTTGCCAGATCAGGCCAAAGCCAGCTCTGCCCCAAGGGTCCTGGACTGTGAGAGGGCACAGGCCAGGCTGAGGGACCCCTCCGGTGCACAACTGGGGCTGGGTAGGGACCATGGGAGGGCTCCAGAGTGACAAATGCCTAGTTGGGTTCTTGGGTTACTTTGCCTTCCCGTGGCCCCACCCCTATCTGCCTAGGTTCCTTCTGTCTCCTCATATGTACACCATCCCTAGAAACAGGAATAGGGAGCAGGAAGATACCTGTTTTTTTTACTTTATTTACATCTGTATTGATTAAATTGTCTTAGTGATCATGGAAATGATTTTAAAGTGATAACAGCAATAGCAGTCTATCCGATTTGACGATATGTGAGCTAGAGAAGTGTTCCAACTTCCGGTATAAAGACTAACATCCAGTGCATGGCTTTCTGCCCTGAGGCTCCCGGAGTCCAGCTCCCTATTGTGAGATGAAGTGAAGCCCAGAGGTTTAGGAACTGCCCCAAGACACAGGGCACGCTGGAGGCAGAGCTCCACAAGCAATCAGGCCTGATGCCCACTCCCAGGCCCTTCCCATGTTATTCCCGTGGGTGAGCACAAGTGTGTGCACAGGAGGGGTACTTACACACTTGGTGCTGCTCTTGCAGTTATCTTAGCTTTAAAAGTCCAAGATGTCAGTTATTAGAAGCAGCAGTATATGATAAATACAGAAACTTCTACCACTATGATAAACCAGCTTAAAATAGCTTTCACATGTCAAATATGAATTTAACTTGGAAAAATAAGAGTATGTCAAAGAGAATGTTCTTGAATATGATGTTAGTCTTTAACAATGTACCTATACTATGTTCGTGTCATTTCCTTCTGTGGTTCTTCAGACAATCCAAACTGATAAACCCCCGGACGGTGAAGGACTCAGAAAGAATTAGGATAGAGGAATGAAGGACTTCATTGACCTGGGCTACAAAGACAGAGCCGCTTAGATAAACAGAGGCCAGGGCTCAGAAGTTCTCAGTGAGGACTCATTTACATAAAATATCAACACATTACTCCACAGCTAGCTGCTAGGGCAATGGTCAAGATGGAAATGGAGAAAAGGTTCCTTGGCAATGCAGCAGATGCCTTGTAGTTGATAAAATATAAAATATTATATGTTAAATGTTAAAGTTCTGAAGGATGTGGGGGATTGATTGTGAAGATCCCAATGCCCTCCCCCTCCACACACTTACACACACTCTCACACACAAATACATATACACACACACACTCACACACATACACACACACTCACTCACACACACATACACATACATACACACATACTCACACACACACGTACACACATACACGCCCACACATATATAATCACACACATACATATACACACATACACACACACTCACTCACACACACATACACACACACACACTCATACCCACATACATATACACACATACACTCACACACACTCACACACACACACACACACACACACTCACACACGCACACACTCCTATCCTCTCCATGTGCTCGGTCAGCCTGTCGCAGCCCCCTCCTCAGCCGCCCTGCCTTGGATCAGGACTGCCTGTGCCTTCCTTTGGCAGGTAGACATGATGGAGGTGCCTCTTACGCAGGTAGCCTCCCTCGAGGCGTCTCTGTGGCCACCCCTTTCTCCTGGGCCCTGGCCGGTGCTGATCACACGGAGCGCGTGAAGGAGCAGGTGCTCCCAAACCATGTGATTGGATGAGTCTGGGAAGGAGGGGAGGCCCACTGTGCACAGGTCTGTGCAGACTCTGAGGCACACACTTTCGTGGTGGGAATAAGAAAAGGAAATGAAGGTCTTTCAAATGACACGCTCCTCTCCCCCTTCACTCCCCCCCCCACAGTTGATTGCCACTAAATAGAAAGCTGTGTGGGCTGAATGTGTCCCCACCATACACCGACTCATGCTAAAGTCTTAGTCCTCAGGCCCTCGGGTGTGACCATATGTGCAGATCGGTCTTTGCGTGGGTGGATACATTGAAATGAGGTCTGTAGGGGCCCTCGTGTGATGTCCTGTGAGAGGAGGATGGTGTCCTGTAGGAGGAGGGAGTTTGGACACGGACATGCACAGAGGGGCGGCCACGTGGAGACCAGGGAGCAGATGGCCTTTCACACGCCGGAGAGCGGCCTGGGAGGAAGCCGCTCTCCTGACCCCGACCAGCCTGGCAGCCTCCTAAGCTGAGAGAAGCAGGTGCCTGTGGTCCCCGCCGCCGCTGTGGTGCTTTGCTAGGGCGGCCCTAGAAAACGAATACCAGTTCCCAGCCTGAAATACAGCTCTGTGAATACAAAACATATTCTTTTCACTGTTTCGTGATAAGGGACAAAACAAACAACAGACAAACAAAAAGCAGGTCCCAGTTGTTATTGAGAAGAAAAATGCAGAGTGAAGAGAACTTTAGGGAAATATACCTTATGCACCTGTGAATGCCCTCTCCCTTTCCGCACCGTATAGCCACCCCCTCCTCTCTGCTTCCCCCTCGGCCACTGCCCTGCTGATACTATGGTACACCTGCTGAGAACTGACTGCACACCATACACCTCAAAAGTAGTTTATAAATATTAACTTAGTAATTACTTATAACACCATCTGAGTAATAACTGGAAAGTTATTTTAGAAGTATTTTCCTCATTTTACTGACAAGGAAACTGAGGCTCAGAGAGAAATAATTAGCCCAAGTAAATGGTGGAACCCAACTTCTGGTTGAGTGTCTGTCAGTTTGTGCCTCAAGAACCTGTGTTCTTTTAATACATATACATATACATATACATATATATATATATATATATATATATATATATATATATATATATATGATAGAAGAAGGGAGAGAGACATAGAAACATTGATGAGAAAGGAACATTGATTAGCTGCCTCCTGCATGCCTCCCCTCCCCCAGGGGGGTTCGAGCCCATAACCTGGGCATGTGCCCTGACCAGGAATTGAACTGGTGACCTCTTGGTGCATGGGATGACACTCAACCACTGAGCCACACTGCCTAGGCGAGAACCCATGCTCTTCACTATTGCTGTGCTCTGGCTTTATTTCA